TAACCTTGAAAACATACATAATATGACTACAAGTTTGATTGTTATTGATGACTAAACACTAACCTGCATTTCTTAGTTACACATTGCATTTTTTTTCTTTTGGTTTTTTGAGACAGGATTTCTCTGTGTAGATTTGCATCTTTCCTGGAACTAACTCTGTAGCTCAGGCTGACTTCGAAATCACAGAGATTTGCCTGGCTCTGCCTGCCAAGTGCTGGGATTAAAGGCATGTGCCACCACTGCCTGGCCGCACATTACTTTTTTACATGAGCTGCATAAGCATAATACCCAAAACAAGAGGAGAAACAGTGTAACAAAAATAATTTTAAAGTTATATCAATACACCAAAATCATACCAATGTAAAATATTTGATACTAATGGTTGTCTTTTTAGCCTATATTCCTATACCTCCCCCAAATGATGACAAACATCCATATCCCATGGAATGACCACCCCCCACCCTACCCAACCTCTTGGATATGAGGGCATTGTGTTCTCTAGACTGTTTCTTGCTATTTGAGGGTAACAGTATCTTTAGGGGACCCTGAGAATATTGAGATAATGGTCAAGTCCCAGGAAAACAAGTTCTAACATTTGCTGTCCATTCTTTGTATAATGGGAAAATGAAGGGATTATCTGACATCTTGCTGGAGTGTTCTGTGAGGTAGGACAACCTTACCTAGCTGCCTTGAAGTTGTTCTAGAGATTTTTGAGGAAACTCTAACAAGGGTATTCTGAGAGGCTGGGCCACCTGGGCTACTTGTCTTTATTGGTGTTTGGTCCTTTTTTCTGAAAGCACACAAATGTTGAAAGGTAACACATATGCTTTCATTAATATTAGTATGGAATGTGCAGTGTGCACAACTCAGTTATGAATGATTTTTTGTTTTATGTTTGAGCAGATAGAAGGTACCTGTCATCTTTATGTCAATTTGGACTGTATAACCAAATCATTATGAAAACTCTGTAGCCAACAAGATGTATCATGTCTCATACAGTTTCAGAGCTTTTCCCATGTATAGGGATCAGCATACATGTCAATTGCCTTGTAGTTTTTTTCTTGGTTTATTTCTCTATGTCACTGGTCAATATTTGATCAGGATCTCTCCTGATCAAACCTGATCTCTATTAGTTTTGGAGGAATCATCAGTGTTTCATTTCCTGTGGAAACAAAAATATAACCTCTCCCAAAATGCAATACATTTCCCATATTCCATTTTAAAGTTAAGACATCCCTTAAATACCTAGGCTGGTTTAATTCAGCAGTCTCTTTTACAATACAATGTCTCACAGCAGCTGTAGTTCACGCATCAGCATTTAAAAAATTCAAAGTCAACACAACACAATACAGGATCCAGAATCCCTGTGTATTTCCCATCTTTATGTGGCTTTTTTTCTTTTATATTACTTTACTCTCTCTTTAAAGACTTGACATTATTTATAAGCCAGTTATTTATTCTATGAGTGACTATACCCATTTTATGTTCTTTTTTATGCACTTAAGCACATTTTATGCCAATATAAACTGTTTAGAAGGTTTTTTCCATCTGGACCTGTGTTTACTGCATGCCTGTAGTCTTTTTGACCTCATGAGCCAAACCTCAACTGACCAGACTCCACTTAGCACCTGGCACTGGTGGCTGGCACTGCCTCATCCTAAGGTCCATGAGAGCCATCCTTATGCTCACAGGCCTGGGCAGAGAGCTGCATTTAACTGGGAGACACATTTAACTACCCCAGCTCTGGGATTTTAATGCCGTGCTGCAGCAGGTTTTTTGCTTACCAGGCAGGTTCAACTCAATGTTGTGGCTGCTCAAGGGCTTGCAGTATGGCAGACCTGTGCCCCTTTATGTACCAGTACCAGGCTACTAAGAAGGCATGTTGGGCTTTATTTTGTTTTCACTTTTTAGCTTTTTCAGTACCTACAAGGAAATACAGGCTACACATTGGGCTTCAAATGTAGCAGCCTTTCTTAGTTGTCAACCACTAAAGCATGATGTAAAGACTTACTATTAGTTATGAAAGTTCAGCCTTAGCTTAGGCTTGTTTGTAGCCAGCTTTTCTAAGTTCCATTAACCCATTTCTATTAATATATGTGCTGCTCCAAGACTCATTTACCTCATCTATATACTGTCCATTCTGCTTTCCTGCTTCCTCCATGTCTGGCTAGCTGGCTCCCCTTTTTTCTTCCCCCTTTTTTCTCTGCCCACTAGCCCCATGTATCCCTACTCTGCATATCTACTGGCCATTAAATTTTTTATTAGCCCAATCAGGTGACATAATCAGGCCAGGTAAATCAGCAACACAACTTTACATATTTAAACATTTTTCATAGTAAACAAAATATTCCACAACATACCAAAAGCAACACATCTTTACATAGTTAAACAAATGAAAACTCAGGGTACACAGTGTGATCAAATATACCACTACAAACCTCTGATCCATCAAGGGGCTATCAATGACTGTTCAAACACTTCTGCAATCCAAATTAGCATGTGACTACACCTGCTATTTTCCAAGGTGAGGTAGAAATGAGAAGCCCTGGGAAAGTATATTACGTGAGCTAGAAATCATATAGTGAGCCAGATTGAACATGTCAGGCAAGTGTTAGGGTAGCTGTAAAGAATCCTCAGTGGAAGGCCTGCAGGCAGGACGCAGGATAAAATTCCTCCACAGAGCAGTGGAGCACAGCAGTAAAGCAGCTGAACAGGAATTCTTCATGCCATTGCCACTGCTGCTGGCTGCTTCTTCAGCACCGTCACAGATTGCAGGCTGGGATGTTAAAAAGTGAACAGTGGACTGGGGTGTAAAGGCCAAGGTGCCATAGATCCATGTTGACTCCAAGACAAAGACTGACACCAATGTTCCTAAAAGCTGGGGTGGCAGAGACTTCATATGCTTTGCTATTTGCTCTTTTGAGATAGGGTCTCTCCTTTAACCCAGTCTTGCCTAAACGTCACAGTGATCCTCCTGCCACAGTGTGCTCGGTACAGAGGACAGTTGTGTATCATACCTAGGTTCTGTTTATTTAAAAACTAAATGTGCATAATTAATTCAAGTCAGGCATGGTGACACAGCCTTTTATTCTTAGCACTCTGCAGAAGAGGCAAACTGATCTTTATGATCTCAAAGCTAGCCTGGTCTGCATAATGGGTTCAAGACCAGGAGGGGTGGCCGAGTAAGCCCCTGATGAAGAAAATGAAACAATAGGAGCATGATGTGAAAACATTTTTTTCATTTGGCTTACCTAATTTTCAGTAATGATGCAGAATTGAGAGAAAAGTAAATCTGAAGACTCATATTAAAATAGGCAGTAAAATATGTATATTTAGTTGTCAGAATATCAAGAGTCTCTCTAGGAAATATGGAGTGATTAAGTAAAAATACTTTTATCCTGTAGGGTTTAGTTGACTAAAATTTTGTGTTTACATTGACAGACCTTGCTGTGGATATCACTCTATATAAATAAAACACTGATGGCCAGTGACCAGGCAGCAAGTATACGCAGGACAAAGAGAGAGGAGAATTGGGGAAACAGGAAGAAGGAGGGGGAGACACTGCAGCCACCACCAAGAGAAGCAGCCGGTAAGCCACCAGCCACGTGGCAAGGTATAGATTTATAAAAATGGGTTAATTTAAGATAAAAGAACAGTTAGCAAGAAGCCTGCCACGGCCATACAGTTTATAAGTGATATAAGCGTCTGAGTGATTATTTTATATGTAGATTGTGGGACTGCGGGGCTTGGGGAACCTGGAGAGAAGCCCTCCAGCAACAGACCTTTTCTACAGAATAGGTGTTTAAGAGATTGCAGATTTTTAGTACATTTTAAAGGTACTAATGTACATTTATTTTTAAAATAAACTTCCTTTTTACAAAAGTGAAAATCATAGTATGTTTTCCACAGTTGGCCTGATGTAAGGTTGTCCCTGAAACTGACAGGTTTTTCTTTGTACTTTTTCAGTTTCATAGCAAACATGACTAGTGCCCCAGAAATGAGTCCTGAACTCCCAAGAAGCTGGACAGAGTTGAGGTGTGACTCAGTAGGTAGCTGGTCCCAGCAAAGGTTCCAGATACCACAGTTGTCTCTCTGGGTGGGAGGTGGGGGTACCTCACCCCACTATGCAGGCCTCCATCACTGAGTCAGCCCGGATTTCCTGTAGTCAGCGTTTCAGGTGCTGGTGACACAGGCCTAGGAGCATAACAGGGATGGGAAAGGAGCAAAATATCATTTCACCTGCCCAGAAAGGTCCCTGAGCAGCTCACTTGCACAGTCCACAGGAAGGGGTGGCCTGCCCTGGGGTCTGACATAAGAATATGGGGGTTCTAAGAAATAAAAAAGGAAAGGACATGACTGCTACTAGGTATGGTGGAGGAGAAAGTCTTTTTAGATAAAAGGCAGAGTGCAGGGAAAGGCAAGGACGTTTGGGAGAGTCCAGAGCAGACATGAGTGTGATCAGTGTGAGAAGAGGAGCTAGGGGAGAGGAGAGAAAGATCAGGAAGCTAAAGGGTAGAGGGGGAAAAGCCAGGTTACCAAGATGGCTGGATTATGGTGGTAAGGGCAGCCTAGTCTCTGGATTAGAGAAGTTCAGGGCAGTGGGCAGGGCTTGCCAGTCATAACCTGTAACTGGTAGGGGCTGAGGGATGCAGGGAGAATCTGGCAATAATGTCTTGCTTGGATATGTTAATTAGGCGCCTCAGACATTTGTCCCTGGTTTGAGACCTAACACCCTGTGTCCAGGACGAAGAAGTGCCTACTGACTGCAGGAAAGGTGCAGGGACGACCTTGCAGTCCAGTTCCAAGTTTTGCAGCAAAGCCAATCTCAGCCTGTCTGGGACAGGTCTGTGCCCGAGGTGGAAGCCAGAGCTGGGAACCACTGTGCTGTGTCCCTCGGTACTCTGTCCCTAGGGGAGCTGGTCTTGTCACTCAGGACACACTAGCCAATCAGGGCCTCCGAGTCAGAATAGGGTGGGCATTTCCGGTCCTCCATGCTGCAGGTTCCGCGGCTCCAGGGCCGAGGGAGACTCTCTTGTTCCGTGTGCTGCGCTGAACCCGCTGCTGGGAGCTGTGAGGAGAGCGGGGCGAGCTCGGAATCCGCCATGGTGAGCGAGGGGCCGCGGTCCCCACCCGGGGAGGAGCTGTCGGAGCCGGGGTGGGGTCCTAACGGGGCTGTGGGAACCGGCGGAGGCGGGGGCCCGCGAGGTCTGAGTTCCCTGCTGTTCCTGCAACTCCGAAGTCCTGCAGCCTCTGAGTAACTTCCATATGCGGCGGCTGCGGCTGTGGCTACACAGAACACAGGGATGTGGGTCTTGTGGCTGGATATTTCCTTATTGTGACATCAGCAAGCTGTGCGCATGCATGCGCCACTTGCGTTACTGCTGGTGGAAGGCAGGTTGTTAACTCACAGAGCCCTGGTCACACTAGTGTCTTCTAGAAGTTCTGCACTTGGCACTGAACATTCAGGTGTGGGACCGGTCTGCAGTTAATTCTGTGCAGGGCGTAAATTCTGTGCCATTAATATATTTGCATGTAGATGCCAGGGTGGTCCAGTCACTTGTGTCAGTAAGATCAAGCATGCTGGGTTTCCTGGCCTGGTGAGTCAAAATTGACTCTATATTAATTGTATCTTTATAAGTTTTCTCTTATGTTCTATTGATATCTTTATTCTTTGTGAAACAGCACATAGTGTTTTCTAGGCCACCTAGTGCTGCATAGTGAAAGCCCATCTCAAAAAACCTTAAAGAAAGATAAGTCTGTGTACCTTTTTGTCTGTCTGTTTTATTTATTTATTTATTTATTTATTTATTTATTTATTTATTTATTTTGAGTCAAGCTTTTCTGCCTGGTATAGGTTATGGAATTAATCTTGAGTTCCCTGCAAAAGCAGCATGTTCTCTTAACAGCTGAGCCGTCTCTCCAACCAAAAATCCAAGTATTAAATCTCTGTAATTTTAAGACCACAGGTTTACTTTTTCAAACATTTAAAAGTTGAATCTTTTATCAATATAAAAGCATCCAAACAATTATGAGGATCTATATGCGAAAAAATAAATTAACATGATACACAATTAATCTTCAAAAATTACATTCAAGAGACTTGTCTCCCTAGAGCAAAGACTGTTGTCAATTCTACTCCATATATATACACAGTGTAGTTTTATCTGGCCTAGTATTCACAGATCCATTTGCCTCTGTCTCCTGAGATATAGGAATTAAGGCCTAAGCTACCATACCTGGCAATATTTATAACATATATGTAAATTTACATAAACTATTATAAGCTGATGGGTTAATAAGAAAATAATTACCTTCTATATCTCAAGTAAATGTATGGTGTTCATTGCATACTTCTTTTTTAGCTTTCATTTGCTTTTGCTTTTCTTTTTTTTTATTATTTTTTTTTCATTTATTTTACATGCCAACCAGTTTCCCATCCCTCCTATCCTCCCGTTCCCTTCCCCCACCTCCCTTCTACTCTCCCTCCATTCACTCCTCCTCTGTCTCCATTCAGAAAGGGGCAGGCCTCTGATGAAAGTCAACAAAACATGCACATCAAATTGAGGCAGGACCAAGTTCCTCCTCCTGCATCAAGGTTGGGCAAGGCAACCCAGCATCAAGAATGAGCTCCCAAAAGCCAGCTCAAGCACCAGGATTGTTCCTAATCCCACTGCTAGGAATCCCACAAGTAGACCAATCTACACAACTGTCACACACATGCAGAGGGCCTAGGGTGGTCCCAAGCAGGCTTCCTAGCTGTCTATCCAGAGTCAAGGAGCTCCCAGGAGCCCAGGTCAGCTGGTTCTTTGGGTTCCTCCATCATGACCTTCACACACACACACACACACACACACACACACACACACACACACACCCTCATAATTTCCTTCCTCTCTCTTTTCCACAGGAGTCCTGGAGCTTGGCCCAGTGCTTGGCCGTGGATCTCTTCATTTGCTTCCATCAGTTACTGGTTAAAGGCTCTCCGATGACAATTAAGATAGTCACCAATCTGATTACAGGAGAAGGCCAGTTCAGGCACCCTATCCACTATTGCTAGGAGTCTTAGCTTGTTTCATCCTATAGATTCCTGGGAGATTACCTGGCATGAGATTTCTCCCTAATCCCAAAATGCCCTCCTCCCCCATCAAGGTATCTCTTTCATTATTCTCCTCATCCATCCCACCCTCAACACACCCAACCTGATTCCTCATATTCTTGTACCTCCACCCCCCTCAGTTTACCCAGAAGATCTCTTTCTATTTCCCCTTCTCAAGGAAATCCTTGAACCTTTCTTTGGGTCCTCCTTGTTACCTAGCTGCCCTGGGGCTGTGGATTGTAACCTGGTTATCATTTCCTTTACAGCTAGTACCACTTATGAGTGAGTAAATAGTCTGTTTTTGTTCTGGGCCTGGGTTACCTCAGTCAGGATTTTTTTTTTTCTATTTCCATCCATTTGCCTGCAAATTTCATGCTGTCATTGTTTTTTACAGCTGAGTAATACTCCATTTTGTAAATGTACTACATTTTCTTTATCTATTTCAGTTGAGGGGCATCTAGGTTTTTTCAGGTTCTGCCTGTTATGAATAGCCTGTGAATATAGTTGAGCAAATGCCCTTGTGGTATGATTGAGCATCTTTTGGTTAGATGCACAAGATTGGTATAGCTGGGTCTTGTAAATTGATTCACAGGTTTCTAATAAACCACTATACCAGTTTCCAAAGTGGCTGTAGAAGCTTGCACTCCCACCAGCAGCAATGGAAGAGTGTTTCCCTTACTCCATATTCTCTCCAACATAGACTTTCATTAGTGTTTTTGATTATAGCCATTCTGACAGGTGTAAAGTGGTATCTCAGAGTCGTTTTGATTTGCATTTCTCTGATGACAAAGGATGTTGAGCATTTCCTTAAATGTCTTTCAGCCATTTGAGATTCTTCTGTTGAGAATTCTCTATTTAAATCTGTACCCCATTTTTCATTGGATTATTTGGTATTTTGATGTCTCTTGTTTCTTGAGTTCTTTATATATTTTGGAGATCCACACTCTGATATGGGCTTAGTAAAGATATTTTCCTATTCTGCAGGCTGCCATTTTGTCTTATTGACAAGTGTCCTTTGCTTTACAGAGGCATCTCTGTTTCAGGTGGTCACATCTATTAATTGTTGCTCTCCATGTCTGTACTACTGGTGTTATATTCAGGAACTAGTCTCCTTGCCAGTGCATTCAAGGCTACTTCCTACTTTCTCTTCTTTCAGCTACAGTGTAACTGGATTTATGTTGAGGTCTTTGATCTACTTGGACTTGAGTTTTGTGTAGGGCAATAGATCTATTTGCATTCTTCTTCATGCTGACATCCAGTTATGCCAGCACCATTTGTTGAATATGCTTTCTTTTTTCCATTGTATAATTTTGGCTTCTCTTTCAAAATTAGGTGTTCACAGGTGTATGGATTTACTTCAGGGTCTTCGATTCGATTCCATTGACCCATGTGTTTGGTGTTTGTTTTTATGCCAATACCATGCTGTTTTTATTACTATAGCTCTATAGTAGAGCTTGAAGTGAGGGATCGTGATACCTCTGGAAGCTCCTTTATTATACAAGAATGCGTTAGCTATCCTGGATATTTTGTTCCTTATGAAGTTGAGTATTGTTCTTTTGAAGTCTGTGAAGAATTGTGTTGGAATTTTGATGGTGATTGCATTGAATCTGTAGATTTCTTTTGATAAGATTGCCATTTTTACTATGTTAATCTTACCAATGCATGAGCATGGGAGATCTTTCCATTTTCTGATATCTTCTCTGGTTTCTTTCTTCAAAGACTTAAACTTCTTGTCATACAGGTCTTTCATTCGTTTGGTTAGAGTTACCCCAAGATATTTTATATTATTTGTGGCTATTGTAAAGGGTGTTATTTCTCTGATTTATCAGCCAGTTTATCATTTGTATATAGGAGGACTACTGATTTTTTTTCTTTTCTTTTCTTTTTTTACATAATTTTGAATCCAGCCACATTACTGAAGGTGTTTATCTGCTGTAGTAGTTCCCTGGTAGTATTTTTGAGATCACTTATGTATACTATCATATCATCTTCAAATAACAAAAGTTCTAATTCTTCCCTTCCATTTTGTATCCCCTTGATCATCTTTGTTCTTATTGCTCTAGCTAGTAACTTCAAATACTATATTGAATAAATATGGAGAGAGTGGACATCCTTGTCTTGTTCCTGATTTTTATGGAATCTCTTTGAGTTTATGTCCATTTAATCCAGGGTGATCCAATAAGATCTATTTTTTTTTTGTATCTGTTGAGATTTTGTATGTGGCCAGTTTTCAAGAAAGGTCCATGAGTTGCTGAGAATGTATATACTTTTGTGTTTGGGTGAAATGTTCTTTAGGTGTCTTAAGTCTGCTTGAGTCATAGCATCTGTTAGTTCCCTTGTTTTTCTGTTAAGGTTCTGTCTTGCAGACCTGTCCATTGGTGAGACTGGGGTGTTGAAGTCTCCCATTATTAATGTGTGGGTTTTGATTTGTGATTTAAGCTTTAGTAATATTTCTTTTACAAATGTGGGCCACCTTGTGTTTTGGGGCATAGATATTCTGAATTAAGACTTCATCTTGATGGATTTTTCCTTTGATGAATATTCAGTGTTCTTCATTTCTTTTGATTTGAAGTCTATTTTGTTAGCTATTAGGATAGCTCTACAACTTTGCTTCTTAGGTCCATTTGATTAGAAAAGCTTTCCCCAGCCTTTTACTCTGAGGTAGTGTCTGTCTTTTAAGCTGAGGTGTGTGTCTTGTGTACAGTAGAAGGATGGATCCTGTTTTCATATCCATTCTGTATACCTGTGTCTTTTTATGGGTGAATTGAGTCTATTGATATTTAGAGATATTAATCACCAGTGATTGTTAATTCCTGTTATTTTTGGGGTTTGGTTTTGGTGGTGGTGGTAGTGGTGGTGGTGGTGGTGGTCGTATTGCATGCATGTGTTCTTTTGCATAGGTTTGTCCCTGTGTGTGTTTCCTTCCTTTGGGTTTTACTGATATGCAGTTATCTATTTACTGCGGGCTCTTGGGGGGCAAGTAACTTCCTTGGGTTGGAGTTTTCCTTC